CCTTTTTAGTATCACTTGATTAAGAAGAACTAAATTGATGTCACTAACAATATTTATCTTGACTTGTTAATTTATTCCAAAGTTATTCTTGCTCTAATCGTAGATGATGTTCTTTTCATAGATAAAATTAATAAGGACCGTGATTTCATGTTGTTACACATGGATTCAAAATTAAACACTTATCTAAGTTTGGATTTAGCATCTTCATTTAGTCAAGTGGCGACCACTTACATATGATAAGATAGTCCTTAATTCCTTAAAAGTATTAGATGTTCTTGTTCGTCAAGTCATGAGCTAAAGCTGAAAGTGAGGGTGTGTACGATGCTTACAAGGAGAACAAATATTTTATCTTGAATTTGAAATAGAACACAACTTTTAATGGCTAAACTTGGAGCTCATATTAGTGAGAATCAAGTGATCATGAGGAAAATGATGGTGAAAAATGTCCTACTCCTACTTACTTTAACACCATCAAACGTTGGGTTGTTTTTAGAATTTTTGTCACTATTAGTCCCCCGACTATTGCGTCACTGACATTTCTGGTACTCGACTTTGAGTTTTTCCACTTTTAGTCCTTCGACTATTGTGTGACAGACACTTTTGGTAGCTGTCTTTGAAAATTTCCACATTTAGTCTTTCGACTTTCATAAAAGTGACACTTTTGGTCCTTCAACTATTATAATAGTGACATTTTTAGTCCTCCACCTATTGTGTCAAATTCATAGTGGAAGGACTAAACGTGTCAATTTTATAATACTCAGGGGACTAAATGTGAAAAACATTGAAGTCAAAGACTAAAAATGTCTCTCGCACAATAGTTGAGGACTAAAAATGGAAATATTGAAAGTCGAATACCAAAACTGTCATTAACTCAATAGTCGAGGTACTGAAAATGGAAAAAACTCTTATTCACTTTTAAACGCAATAGTGGTAAAGACCTCAAATAAAAGTTAGGACCAATAGGCGGCAGTTTCCTCTGTCGCCTTATTTTTAAATGAACATGTGTATACATAGGTTTTGAAAGTAAAAAGACAATCTAGATTGAGTTTTGTCATATGTAAGGGTGGATTCGGTTCGGGCCACCCAGCCTGTGACCCGGCTCGGCCCGCTACTGTTCGGGCCCGGGACCGGCCCGGTCTGACGGTCCGGGACCGGGTGTAGACCCGAACCGGGGGGCAGCGGGGGGCGGGCTCGGTTCCGGCAAAACGTGACCCAGTCCGGCCGGATCGGGCCCGGGTCCGGGTCACAACGGCTATAATAAAAAAAAATGTATTTGTGCCAATAGAGCCGTTGGGGGTGGGCTGGGGACTACCCAAATGGCTACATAGCCGTTGGGTGGGCTGGCAGGGGGTCCTGGCAGTTTGGGTGTTAGGGGGAGGATGGGGGTGGGTGGGGGTGGGGTAAAAAAAACTATAAATACTTATTAAAGTGTTTCCATATCTCTTCTCCAACTCTTCCTAAATCTTACTCTCTACTCTCTAATTATCTTCATCTTCATCTTCTCAAATCATAATCTTAAACATTTTTCCATATCTCCTCCAACTCTTCCTAAATCTTACTCTCTAATTATCTTCATCTTCTCAAATTCTCTTATTCTCCAATATATTATATATCTACTTATATTATTTATCTACTTATAAATACATATATTTATATTACTTATATTTCTTATCTACTTATATATTAATTATCTACTTATAAATACATATATTTTATTACTTATATTACATTTTTAATATGGAAGGTGGTAGATATTCGGTTGATATGGGTAACCTCGACTGCAACCGAACGAACGAGCTTGCATGGAAGAAGAGATCCCGCAAAGGTAAATCACATATCGACTCTTCATCTCAAAGCCAAGATGATTTTGATACGGGTTACGCAAGAAGGGATGAGGATGCGATGACCGACGAACAACTAGAACAAGAATTGCACCGACATAATAGCCTTTTTTTTCAAGACCAGCCGACGACTATTGACGAAGAAGAGCTCGAGGACGATGATGTGGCGGAAGTAATTCCGGAGAGCCACGATGCCAACGCGGAGGAGGGTGGCGGCAGCCACGACGCCGACAAGCCTGCCTCATCCCAAACCGGTACGAAAAAAGTAAATCTGAACTAATGCTTAATAATTTTGATAAGTGGAAGGACCCGAAGACCGGGAATTGGAATGCAACTTGCAAGTGATGCAAGAAAAATTATAGCTTGGGGATTTCTGGCGGATACGGATCTGCCGCAAGGCATCTTAAGGCCAAACACACGGTGGAGTATGCAAAATTAGGCGGCGGAACGGGGAAGCAAACTCTAATATCGAGATTTGCAAATAACCAACAACCTTTTGGTAATTTCTCATACAATGATGCACAAAATTTGACTGGTATGGCTAATTTACTTGTTGAAGAAAATTTGCCTTATTTGTTTTCTGAAAGTCTTACTTTGAAAGATTATGCACAAACTTGTTTAAATCATCAATATAGAGTTTATAGCCGCAAAACGGTTAAGAAAGAAATTTCAAGGCTTTATGGTGCGGAAAAGGTAAGGTTACAAAATTATTTTGCAAACTTTGATGGGTTTGTTACTGTATGTTCTGACATATGGGAGGATACTTATCATAATTTACATTATTTGGGTCCGACTGTACTTTATATTGATAATGATTGGAATATGCATAAACGTGTTCTTGCTTTTCGTGAATTTCATGATCGTCACACCGCTGAACATATTTATATTTTGATTGAGCGTATTTTAATTGAGTATAATTTGAATGATAAGGTGTTTGCATTGGTTTTGATAATACTACTAATAATACTGCTGCTATTCCTAGATTGCGTGAATTGTGTGGTTCTACTTCTTTGATGGGTAGATTTTTTCATCAACGATGTGCATGTCATGTTATAAGTTTATGTGTGCAAGATGGTCTAAAAGCGTTAGGAGATTCTTTGGAGGTAGTCAAGGGGGGATTAGACGTATTTGGGGTAGTTGTCAACTTAGAAAAAATGGCATGATTATTTGATAGAAAGAGGTGAGAAATATGTGGCGTTTCCTAAAGATTTGTCTATTCGTTGGAATAGTACTTATAAGTTAATTACGGTTCTTCTTAGATATAAACAACATTTTCCTGCTTTTATGAAACAATACGATAACTATATTATAAACTCGACTGAGATCGACACCTGCGAAAAAAAATTGTAATGCTTTGGTATATTTTTATAATGCAACTAAAACTTTTAGTCATGTTTATAAACCTACCTCAAACCAATTTATTCGTGAAGCTATTAATCTCGCCGGTGCTTTTGCAGATTTTGAGAATGCCGATTATGTGAGTTATTTTGCTGATTTTATGAAGGAAAAGTTTTTAAAATATTATGCACATATTCCTCAAACTTATGGTATTGCATTTGTTCTAGATCCTCATTTTAGACTTGGTTCTTTAGAAGAATGTTTGAATTATTATTATCAAGCTTTTTTTGATCTTTTGCCAATGTATGATAAGAACTCAATTGATCAGAAAAAATAATACAACGAGGTTGGTGATATATTTTATGCATTATTTAATGAGTTTCATGCACAATATGGCAACGCGCCCCCTCCCCCGACAAAAACATCTTCATCTAAAGGAAAACCAATTTTGAAATCTACATTTGTCAATCTTATTTAAAAAACTAAAACAACTCCCGCTATTCAACAAAGCACAATTAATGAGATTTCTTTGTATTTAACATATGATGTTGATTTTCAAGAAGATGATGAATTTGACTTTCTAAACTGGTGGAAGGGAAAAGAAAGAATGTTCCCGGTTTCAACAAAGATGGCTAAGCAAGTGCTATCGATGCTGGTTCAACAGTTGTCTTGGAACAAGAATTTAGTTCGGTCGGCAATGTCCTAACGCAATCTAGAACGAGGTTGAGCGCAGAATCTCTTGAGATGCTTATATGCTACCACGATTGGTTGAAGGCGGCCCGTAGAGCTCAAGAAATTGACATCACCCCATCCCAACACTTTATGGATGAATCAACAACCGAGGGTGGCTCTACCTATGTCGGAGATTCCAATTGATTAGTATTTCATGTTTTAATTTTACCTTCAATTCTCAATTGTATTTCATATTGTATTTTTTTTCTCAATTGTCAAATGTAGTTCCTATTTCATTTCAAATAAATGCACTTGAAGTTTGTTTTTAATACTTGTATAAAACTATAAAGTATAATAATTAAAAAAAATGGATTTACCCAGCCCGACCTAGCCCGGCGGGTGGCCCGACCCATGACCCAGGCGGGTGGCCCGACCCGAACCAGAACCGTCCTTACGTCGGGCCAGTCCTGGGCCCACCTTTTATAAACCGGGCAAGTCCAAGCCTAGTCATATGTGTCATAGATGATAATTTGTAACTTTTCTTTACGGTTTCATGGACTTACGAGTAGGGATGGACTAAATCGGGCCGGCCTGGCCCGCTATTGTGCGGGCCCGAACCGAACCGTGACCGGTTGGCCGGTTCCGGGCTTTTAGCCCTTTTGGGCGGGCCGGGCAGGCCGGGTGGGCCAGGCTCAGGCCCAATTTTGGGCGAACCGGCCCGGGAGGTTCAGGCCGGACCCGAGTCAATTTTTTTTCAATTTTTTTTCCTAGGGTAGGGCTAGGTGTTTTGGGGAGGTTTGGGGGTGGGAGTGAGGGGGGGGATAACAAGAAAGCAAAAAAAAATAGACATTGAACCAGGCCCGACCCGGCCCGACCCGATTAGGCCCGGACCCGGTATCAACCAGGGCCAGTTCCGGGCCCAAGGATTTGCAAAAAAGCCCGCCCGGGCCCGGCCCGGAACCGGAACCGGACCAGCCCGGGTCCATCACTATTATTTACTTATGATTTGTACCACTTTATTTAATCTTTTCAATTAGTTGGATACATTTAAACTTTTCTTGATACATATAATTTGCATCTAAGTTTTTTTTGTAAGTTTTTATGTAATTGCATTCAAACTATTATGTAGGTAAAAATATAGTGTGATGGTCATTTTTAAGTATAAAAATTCGATACAAGTACTATGACTAAAGTTATTCCAATAATCACTCCACTTAAGAGATTACATTTTTTAAAGCAAGAATTACTTTAGTAAATATGTACTTATTTCTATATACAATCATTTGATATTAATAAAAAAGCGTCTGCTTATAAACTTGCTAAAATGTGGGAGCACAAATGAGCAAAACATGTTTAAATTCTGTGAGCATCGTTTAATGTTATCCCTTCCATCTGTGTATGCCACATCAATGGCATCATCATCCATCTGTGTACAACGGATAGAAAAAAATACCAAACAAGAAAGCAGCGGTGGCTTGTTATCAAACATTTTGGATTTCGACCAAACAGATGTTCGCCTTCTCATCTTTTTAAAAGCGAAATATTATTGCTGAGTGAACATGCAGTATGGTTCTCACTTATATTGCTGAGAGACCCGGTACACCAGCTTATCCATGAGCTGGCATTTTTTGTGGAATCCCCAACCCGGATTGCTCTGCATTGTACGATAGGTAATAAACACATCACTTTTACTTGTATGTAAATTTCTACTAATAATATATGAGACCAAAAAACTATAATTATGTATTAAAAAATTAAAGTATTAGCCACATTGATTTTCTCTAATGCTGAGACGTTTTTCCTTTGTTTCTATGTTTTTAATGTGCAGTAACTTAAAAAAGGCTCAAGGTATTTTACGGAGTAACTTTTATGTCTATATATTTTGAGGCTTACGCAGTTACGCCTCAATACGCCTGAACCCGCCTTTTTAAACCTTGGATGGACCAATGCATACTCCAAAATTAAAAGAAAGAAAAAATGCTTATAAAGAAAAGTAACCTGAAGTGACTGAACAGCACGGTCTGTGAACATCTTCACTGAATTGGGTGCGCATTGTGGAAGAGTAGATGCAACTCTTTTCAGTTCCTCGTGCTGCTGCTTTGCTGTTACTCTGTCAGGGCCACTGTAGTGGTCAACTATCTCTTTTATAAGTGGGAGCCTAACCTCCATCGTTTCTTTCATGGCTTCCTGAGTGAGTGTCAATAAAAACAACTTTAACACCACATCAATAGTATATATACAATGGGACCTACAGCAACGATATGTGACATATCATATATTTCGTAGGAAAATCAGTTATACAACTGATTAAGAATTACAACAATGAAGGATACAATTACAGCTTCAAGTGTTCCCTGTTGTTTTGTGACATATAGAATTAATTACATCTTTGCACTTTTGTATTGGGTATAGAGGAGGTTAACTAGTGGAAGCAAAAGGTCCTATATCGCCTGAGGCACAAGACACAAAAAACCTCTAGAATGACTCGTAAGGGGTGTACACATTTGAAAGCATCGTCTATATTGTTCTCAAATCATCAAAAACGTGTTACTTATAAAACCAGACCCCCATATGCACCAATAATTTCACAAACATACTACCTATGTCTCTCAGTTAACTCCTCTTTTAAGCTGACGCAACTTTTGAGTTTTGAGAGGGTGGAAACTGTGTTCTTGATATTTTGTTTTAGGGGGAAGAGATTATATCAATCAAGGAATGCTTTCTCAAAAAGGAAAGTGAAGATAGTTTTGGGGCTGACCGACCGATGGAGTAACATATTAGCCATTCCCATGTCAGGCCAATATAGGAATTAACTGAAAAACTGATTACTGAATAAAGTATTCAACTACATAACATGGAAGACCAAAAGTGCATTAATTTAATGAACTGATCATTCGAGTTTTATAATCAGCTCATGAGATTGCATCAAGGCGCTATACTTTAGCCTCTCTCTGATGACCGCATCTGAGATAGTTCATGGTGCAAGGGCTCTTTTGCGCCACTCCTTTGTGCACAGGCGAGCACCTCTAGCGCTGTCGACTACACTTAATGGAATTAAACCTTGTTCTTGAGGAAGGTGGTGAAAAAATGAAAAGGTTAAGAGTAACAAGGTGCATGCAAGGTTTTAAAAATCTTTAAGAAGCCTCAAGGCACTTTACTTTAGAATATTAAGGCATCCTAAAACATAAATATCCTAGAAAATATATATGACTAATCAATGCATGATAACATATACTACGTATATGCATGATTAAAAAAAATAACTTCACAAAGTTATAAAATCATAAAAATACCAAATGTTTATGGAAAGTTGCCTTAGAAAACTAAAAGTTGCCTCAAAGAAGTGAAAAGGTACGGCTACTAAGTAAGAGTTATGCATGAATGATTAGCTTTACTTGTTATACAAGTCCTACCGAGTACACCGCAGTTGTGATAAAAAAGAGTAGCAAGCTCCCGGCCAAACGAGAAGAGAAAAATATCTAACTAAAGAGAGCAACATCTAATTAGGGACCTTAGGATTTTGCATATTGATATATTGACATTGTTTACCTAACTCAAAGACGTTATTGAGCTAGATTCTAGAGATCTTTGGACCATTTACTTCGTAAAAATGAGGCACAAGCCTCGACTACCTCTCAGGGTTTGCGCCTCTACCTCAAACACCATGTAAACCATGTGTATGGTATAGGAATAATCCTCCTTATAGTTTAAAGCGTCAATTTGCGTACAACCTAATTTAAGGTGTAAACATGGTATGAAGATAATAGATATCAACATGGTATTCCAACTTAACCATGTTCTTCCCTAGGTAGATCTTCCTTTCAGAGCAAATCTTCATCTGCGTCCTTCTCAGAGCACCTGTTCTCAGTTTTTTTATGTTTTATTTGTTCATTCTTCTCAGTGTGTATATAGTTTTCTAATCTATGGTTTTAAAGCTTTTTCTAAGCTTTTCTTATTTTTTTGTTACAGGCTTATAGCCTTTATAGCATTCTTTACTCAGTTTCATGTTGGCTTCATGAAGAGAAACCGGTTGAATCGCAAAAGAGCCGACAAATTGGTTTTCATTCACTCCAACATTCGACTCCAGTCACGGTTTTCAGAATCATATAAAGCCGGTCCACACAAATATTGGGACATCAATCCCGAGAGCACATACATAGAAGGCCCAAGTTCAAGTCTGGAAGAAATGGCTTGGGAGAATCTAGAGGATGAAGACATGGACAAGGGGAAAGGAAAGAGACCTCGAGTTGATCAGTCGTGTACTTTTCTTGTTTGAACTTTAAATCAATGATTGTAGTAGTGTGTTTCTGTTTTGCTTGAAATGTTTCTTGAATATTAATGTTTTTGCTTTTGATTCATGTTATGAATTTATGTTATGAAATCCGTTTTTGTTCAATGCTGAAATCTGTATTCTATAATTCAGTTTTATATTTTTATTATAGTACCAAAAAATTAGGTACAACGTACCGAACATATGGTACATCGTACCAAACGCGTACCGAAATGAACCTACCCCTCCGAATCGGATACGCTAGATCTAGCGAACCGCGTTCCCGTTCCTCATTCCCGTATTGATCCGTACCGCGAACCATGTGACTATGCACTGAATGCTAAGAAAAGCAAACATAGTTGGATCTTATACCTCCCACTTTTCTTGGCTTTCAATTCCTTCGTACACCATAAGGAATGGCTTTATCTTCTCAAGGGCATCTCGCAATGGAATAGGAGGTTTCTCGTCAATATCGGGATTCCTTTCAAAATTTCCCATCATGTACTCTTCTTCACATTCAATCTGCAGGTAAAACAATTTAAATGCCATAAAAACTGCAGAAATTTGGTCGATTCAGATAAAACAAGATCAGGTCATCACACAAGGATTGTATTACCTTTAGATTGGTATCAAGAGCATCCAGATAAGCATCCTCGATACGAGATGGAAAAATTCTGGGAGCAATTTCTTCAATACCTTCAGCTAATTGACTCATAATATCAGGACCAACCTCTTGAGCCAGCTTTTCAGCAGCAGCAGCATCACCAATGTTGAATATATCACCATATTTCTCACCAACATCTTCTTGTACTTTACCATCTCCCCTTCCTCTCCCTCCTCTTCCTCTTCCTCCTCTCCCTCCTCTTCCCCCTCTCCCCCGTTCACTAAACCCGCTACGTCCCTTCCATTGAAGGGTTCCTCCTCTTCCCCTCCATTCACCATTGCCACTTCTTGCTTGTCCACCATGATCAGTCCCATTACTCGTGTCATCCCTGTTGAATCTTTGGCCAGGAGGTCTGCTGTTTTGAGGGCCACTGGAAGCTGGTCTCTGCCAACCAGTTTGAGGATTTTGCCTCTCCCTTAGATGCCTGTTTTCTTCCTTGGGTTTTTCAGGAACACGAGAAGTTTGAGTGGTCTTTCCACGGCCCGCACCAGATAAAACAGAGATGATATTTGAAGGAAGGAGACTGGCTACATCACTGGACTCAACAGACGTTCTGGCTCGGAAATCGGGACAGTCTTCTTCTTTTACAAAGAACAAAGGCCTGTTGGAATGTGGCAGTTGAGTCGGCATCTGCTGCTGAGATTGTGGTTGTGGAGCAGAAGTGGGGCCTGGGATGCCTCGGCCGCGTCCAGCAGGGCCACTGCTATCATGCACAAATGAAAATAAGGGCTTACTGCTTCCACGGCCGTGCCCAATTCCACAATGCTTCCCTGCGGAGGCTGACTCGTCGTCCTTCGCATCACCGGACTCATTTTGGTTTGGCGTAAATCCAAAAACGGAAGAGCTGCCGGGGCCAAACCCACCGCCTCCCCGGCCCCATCCGCCGCCGTCGCCGGATGAAGTTGAGAACGCAGGAGTGATGAAAGATTGCTGGCGCGATATGCTGCCTATAGTGCAACGAGGAAGCTTTCCCCAGCTACGGCTCATATCCAAATCCTCGGAGATCAATTGACAATCCGTTGCATAGAAAACTGAATCTTTAGGAAAATTGTTGGCGCTAGGATTTGTATTTTTTGAGGTTTAGAATTGTAAGCTATCTATAGTTGAGGGATGAGAACATGGAAGGGTACGGGACGCCTAAAAGAATAACAAAGGCAAAAGTGAAACAGTCAATAACAAATGGAGGAGTCGTATGTGACATTGGACTTCAAGGAATTAAGGAAAACAAGATACGAAAAACTATCCATTTGATTCTCGTACTTTCATGAAACAGTCAATTAGGTCTTTATACTTTAAAAAAAAAAATAAATCAAATCCTCAAACTTTGTAAAACCGTTCAATTGAGTACATTTGCAGATTACTTTCCATGTCGGCAGGTCACCCGCTGACGTGGTGCATACATGACGGCCCACATGTGTGCCACATCATTAGTAAATTGTTGACTGGACTTCCACATGTGTGCCACGCTAGCAAAATTATTGCTGATTGGGTTGCCACATGTGCGCCACGTCAGCGGGCGATTTGCTGACATGGCAAACAACCTGCAAATGGACTCAATTGAACATTTTTACAAAGTTCGGGGATTTGATTTATCTTTTTAAAAGTACAAGGACCTAACTGACTTTTTCATGCAAGTACGGAGACCAAATTGACAGTTTTCCTAAAAAGATATATACCGACTTGCTCATCTTTGTGATCGTAAGACTTAAGATATTTGAAAGTTAAGTGTGTGAAGGATGTCGATCAAAGGGTACTAATGGAGGATAAAGATATAAAAGAGAGGTGGAAGTCTTACTTTTATACTTTATTCAACGGGAATAAAGTGCAAGTTAAGGATGATCTTTCTATACCAGATTGTATAGTAACTCGGGATTTTGTGAGAAGATTTCAACCAACAGAAGTTAAAGAGGCTATGAGAAAAATGGGGTGGAAGAAAGTAGACGGTCCAGATAACATACTGATCGAGGCCTGAAGAAGTTTGGGAGAGAGACACGTTGAGTGACTAACACATTTCTTCAACATGATTTGGAGAAGCAACAAAACATGAGTGAGTTGGCGGAAGAGCGCGCTTATTCCCCTATTTAAAAATAAGGGTGATGTACAAGAATGTGCCAATTATCGAGGGATTAAGCTTGTGAGTCACGCCATGAAATTCTGGGAGCAAGCCGTTGAGCAAAGACTCAAAAAAAGTGTGAAAATTTAGGAGAATGAGATCGATTTTATGTTTGGACGCTCAATAACTGAAGTCATTCATTTTCATAAACAAGTTGTGGAGTAGAATAGAGATACTAAAAAAGGGTCTGCATTTGGTGTCCACTGACTCAGAAAAGGCATATGATAGGGTATCTCGTGAAGTCTTTTGGTGGCTCATAATTAGAAAAGTCATATCTAGTGCACCATGGACTAACTCTGAGCCATTTCTTATTTGCTATAGTCATGGATGAACTAATGAAATCGATTCAACAATATATAACGTGCTACATGGTGTTTGTTGATGATATTGTATTAATTGATGAGACACAATAGGGTATTCAAACAAAGATGGAAATATGGCGACAAACATTGGAGACTAATTAAGGGTTTCAAACTAAGACGACTAAATATATGGAGTGCAATTTTGGTGAAGGTAGAACCGTAGAAGTAATAATAATAGTGCAATTAACCTTGATGACAAGGAGATACTGATGTGTGGTATCATCTGTTACTTGGGTTCCATTATTCAGAAAGATGATGAACTAGTTGGAGATGTATGTTAGGAATATTTTATGGTGTCCAATCTAGATTAAATATCTTTGTATTTGTGTGTATTTGTGTAGTTAGCATTTAGATGTGTAATATGGGCCACAAATGTGTATCAGCCCATTAGCTTCCTTGTAACCCGTAAGTTAGCCAACTTCTCCTATAAAAGGAAGCTAACTTATGGGAACCCTAACGATCGACAAAGGCTTTAGAGTGCGTAGAGGCGAGATAGAGAGAAAGGTTTCCGCTGCTCTCCTTCTCAGGGGAGAGCAGCGGGGTTTCATACGGTATACCAGATTCGTGTATAATATCGACATCCTTCCATCTGCTTTTTCGTTGTTACTTGCTTACGATTGTTTGATTGTTAAATATCTGGGTTTATCATTTGGTATCAGAGCCGAGGCGTGAAAAAGGTTGAATCTATCTGCGTTTTTCAAATATGTTTTTTCGACAAACTCTGTTTTTCCTCTAGTATTTCATTATCTCGATATTTGCCTTTTTTATATTGTTGGAATCGCCTCCTCTTACCGATATTGTTTTTGGTCGAAACTTTGTAAAAATTATACTGCTGGAATCACCTCCTCTTACCGATTCTACATCACTTCTTTGTTTTCGATTTCTGCAATTTTTCGATTTCGAAGATCTCTATACTGAGATCTCGAGATCCTATTTTTTCACCGCTGCAGAAACGATTTTGACTTGAATTTGGTACAGGAGGAATCGCGAGATCAAGGGCTTTTCAAAACTGTTTTCAAAATTTCAAAACTCGAAATTTTCAACTTGAAAGATTTCGAGATTTTGTTTGATCTCGATACCTTGGAAGATCTCGAGATTCTGGTTTTTATATGACAGGTAAGATTTCGAAGTTTTTGAAGATTTCGACATTTTACGAATTTCTTGATGTTTTGAATCTTTCAAAGTTTAGAGTTTCTTGAAACTCAAAATCGTTCGAAGCTTGATATCTTTCTGTTCAGAACATTTCGAAGCTTAAATTATAGGATTTTCTGATGAATCTCTGCTTTTCAAAGTTTTTCAAAGTTTTCGATGTTCTGATGTTTTTCAAACAGCAAGTTTTCGGTATTCTTACGCTTTCGAAACTCCATAGTTTTCGATGTTCTAAACATTTTGAAATTCTAAAGATTTCGAAGTCTTGAGGTGTTGTTTTTGGAGGTGGATTTCGACGTTCTTCTAAGGGATAAACTCGAGATTGTAATCTCGAAGTTTAAACCTCGAGATTGTAATCTCGAAGTTTAAACCTCGAGATTGTAATCTCGAAGTTTAAACTTCGAGATTGTAATCAAACCTTGCACATTCTGAGGGGGAGTTTCAGTTAATTCCTCCTGGCGCCATTCACCGACAAAGTAAGGAATCTCTCAAAGGATGCAACATTTTAGGGGGAGTCTTCAATGTTATCCTCCCCGGTGCCTAACAACAACAAAGCATACCGAGTGCTCAAGTTGAGGGGGAGTACAGAGAGACAATCAAGAAAGTACTGAGAGAACATGTCCCTTTGGCTTAGTAAACCCAACTAAGGCTACCCAAGGGACAAAGCAGAGCGTAAGTGAGTGAGTGAGTGAGTGAGTAAGTGAACATTATGAGCGTTAGGAAGCAGAAGGCTCAAGTGAGCATGAATACAATAATCAATGATGAGTGTGTTACCTCAATTGTCTGCTATGAATTGAACATTTACTCCTAGCCACTCAAATACTCTGGACTATCCCCATAGGTTCAGGACTGAATTTATTCAGATCCCGGGTAGAAGTCGCTGCATTTCGTCCAAACGGCGCATGCACAACCCTACCCTAGACCACTCACTTGTCTCCCAACAGACAGGTGTTTAATCATATTTCACGGGGAACCGCATCTCTCATTACTGCCTCCTTCCGAGACAAGTAATACTGACTACAGTGGCTTCAGCCCCATGCCACTGAATTTTCATTGATCACGTCGTGTCTAATAACCTCACTCCCAAATGTTTTGAATTTTCTAGGACACAGACGCGCTTTTAGAGTCAGTTGCAGGTTTTCATGACCTGCGAGAACTTCCAGAGGGCTCATCTATTACAGATGTAGACCAATGATTGGAAGGAAGTCTTGCTGTTGCAACATAAGAATCACCAACATTTTCAGGCCATCGCTTTAGAGTTTATCTCTATAATGATGAAAACGGGTGTCTACACGACCCCGGGGGGCTACGTTAACATTTTATCATTCTGCTTGTTTTTCCTGTTTTATTTCCGCAAAATAAAATAATAAAGGCATGACACCCCGATTCATCGGATCGTCATGAGGGGGAGAGTGACCCACATGCTGATAACATGAATCAAAAATCATTCTGGGACACTTCACTCCTCCAACAAAAAAATCAATACCTTCTCTGCTATCTCTACAACTCAAATCAAATGGTTAGCTACACTCACAAATCAACAATCATTATGTTCCGTTGTGCCACCGACAAGTTCTCCTCAAATGCATTCATTCCAAATAGTCAAAAAGACTACATTGTGGAGGAGACAAAGGTCAGATACTCTCGTACGGCAGATGAATCCCGTGCGCGTCTGGAAATCATAAGAACATTCATTCTAGAGACGCCACCGGACCTCATTCAAGCTGATCAAGAGCAACTTCTGGAAGGCATGGACTACAAGATATTGAAGATTCCTCAACCCCCGGCATCAAAGATCAAATTTTCAAGAAGACATCAAAGGGGAGATCGCAAGGATTTCTTCAGAATGCCCTTCCAAGAAGTCGAGTTCAAAGACAAAGAAGCTGAGCTACACTAAAGTTCACAAACAAATATATTCGCACTGCAATGCTGAGTTAACAAGATTGAACACCAAGGGGGAGATTGTTAAGAATATTTTATGGTGTCCAATCTAGATTAAATATCTTTGTATTTGTGTGTATTTGTGTAGTTAGCATTTAGATATGTAATATGGGCCACAAATGTGTATCAGCCCATTAGCTTCCTTGTAACCCGTAAGTTAGCCAACTTCTCCTATAAAAGGAAGCTAACTTACGGGAACCCTAACGATCGACAAAGGCTTTAGAGTGTGTAAAGGCGAGATAGAGAGAAGGGTTTCCGCTGCTCTCCTTCTCGAGGGAGAGCAACGGGGTTTCATACGGTATACCAGATTCGTGTATAATATTGACATCCTTCCATCTGCTTCTTCGTTGTTACTTGCTTATGATTGTTTGATTGTTAAATATCTGGGTTTATCAATGTATCATATCGAACTAGAGTAGGGTGGATGAAATTGAAGAGTACATCAAGATTTCTGTGTGATCGATGTATGCTGACTAGACTAAAAGGTAAATTTTATCGGACATCAATTGGACATGCACTAATGTGTGACATAGAGTGTAAAGAGGTGAAACAATGTCACATTCAAAAGAGGA